CACATTTACAAATGTGTCGAAACTAACTCACTCGTGTCCTAAAGCGATGGACAATAATTAATTCACTCCACATAAGCACGTAGTCACACATAATGATCGTCCTGCGACATTACCAAAGTTCCAGTTAGAAATAGTAGTGATCAAATGCTCTTCTAACTGGACTGCTAGAAACTTGTAGATCCAATCAACATCTTAAAAATAAAATTCCATATCCATTTACCCACATAAACATTTTATCACATAGCATACCATACATACAAATATCTCTATCAAGCGAGATAAACCCATTGTGGTAAGAACCATTTCCCACGTACCCAAAGTAATCAAATTCGTACACTCTGATACCAAGTTGTAATGCTTCGAAATAATTACACTAGGATGATCCACAATATTAATAAATAACAATACCATACTGAAGACAATAACCTTTACATTTCATATAGTCCCATGGTACAAAAAGTAGACCACACTTGTTTGACCAACCCCTTCCTCCGGCACCAAAATTTCTTTCGGTAAAGGCACCTCCTACCATCTAGGCCTGCCATGCCTACTACCACCACATCCACATCCTGACATCCTAATGAAGGTAACAGCAGAGATTAACACATTTACAAATGTGTCGAAACTAACTCACTCGTGTCCTAAAGCAATGGACAATAATTAATTCACTCCACATAAGCACGTAGTCACATATAATGATCGTCCTGTGACATTGCCAAAGTTCCAGTTAGAAATAGTAGTGATCAAATGCTCTTCTAACTGGACTTCTAGAAACTTGTAGATCCAATCAACATCTTAGAAATAAAATTCCATATCCATTTACCCACATAAACATTTTATCACATAGCATACCATACATACAAATATCTCTATCAAGCGAGATAAACCCATTGTGGTAAGAACCATTTCCCACGTACCCAAAGTAATCAAATTCGTACACTCTGATACCAAGTTGTAATGCTTCGAAATAATTACACTAGGATGATCCACAATATTAATAAATAACAATACCATACTGAAGACAATAACCTTTACATTTCATATAGTCCCATGGTACAAAAAGTAGCACATGCAGTTATATATTCATAAGTCCTAACCCTGAATCTATAGCCTGTGTTACAAGTTAAAGATATGAAATAAGATTTAAAACAAATAAGAAATGCCCTGAAGGCTTACAACTTTCCAAGACAATTCCTGGTTACAGCAAAACAGATTTAAACCCAATACAATTAAAGTCCTTGGCTTGCATAAAATAAATACAATAACACGCAAAAAGAAGCCTTAAGCTCAAAGACCTCCCATGCTATTGCCTTGGCGAAGGCATATCATTAATACCTGAATATGGTTTTTCCCACATAGGGTGATCCAAAGTCCAGTAGAGATACTACAACACAATTTATAAATCTTAACAATATTATAAGGTGAATGCATATGCAATGCCCGTGCCAAACATTTTTATTTCTCTTTTCCAAAACCGTGTAATGCCAAGTTTATATCTCAATTCATTATATCATTTCCTTTATAATAGAAAATAGGGCAATGAATACAACATTGTGAATCTCTGGGACGTGTCTGCAAGTAGGCTACAAGCACTACCGATTTGTCATTTTCATCAGTATTAACTGGAAGGCCTGACACCTAACCATCGGGTTTTTGGACTTTCACAAAGGACATTTCGGCCAACATAATACCACAACTACACTCATACCCAGATTCACCAAGGTATTCACACATTTTTCTCAAAACAACAACATTTTCAAATATGTTAAATATGTAACAATGCACAATACAATGGATGAGAAAATAGTTTCAATTCTCCTAATTCTCATGCGATTTCTACAATAATCATAGCTATCCGCCACCGATAGCCCGAAATAGATATCTCTAAACAGATAAATAATTTCCATAAAGATAAACTTTCCAAAAATCTCAAGATGGGAGTGATGATATATATCCAACTCCGCCATCCTCATCAACGTCATTCTAATTCCACATTTCCAATATCAATTCCATTTATCCTTACAAAATCAACATTTGAAATCTTTATGGCAAAACCCACTTTTCTTTATAAATCAATCCCCAGGATAAAGCGCACTATTTTATCATAACTCATCCTCATTTACAATACCATAACCATTTCCAAGAATCCACTTGAAAACCTATCTTTTGATTTTTAACTTAATACCCTAGATTTGTCCAAAAATCCCCAAATCACAATATTGTTTTAGAAATAGCAAATAACTAAAAATCATAAGAAAATATGGAGAATATCTACCTCAAGCTTAGAAGACAAGAGAAGGAATGGAGAAACTTCAATAATGCTGAAACCCAACTTTGCTCTAATCAAAAGGAAGCTCTCGGAGTGTTCTACATTTTTGTCAAAGGGACACGGATGAAAATATCAATGGATCTATGTGTATTTGTAGAGAGAATGTGAGTTTTAGAGAGAGAGGGTCTTAACTTAGGGTTTTTAGAAAGTTTAGAGAAAGAAAGAAAGAGAGATGAAAATGTGGCCCAAAAATGTGACTTCGAGCGACCAGACACAATAAGTGAGACCGCTCAAGCGCAAGAATGGTCGCTCGAGCACGCAATGCACCCTCCCAGTAGTTCAAACCTGCAAAATTTCACTCAAGTGAAATAAATGTCACTCAAGCGCAGATATCAAACTTTCAGTAGTTTTGCATACTGTAAAAGACCGCTTGAGCATAAGAAGCGTCGCTCGAGCAAACAAGCAAAATTCTAGCAGTATAGTTTTGAAAAGACTAACTCCAAACCTGTTCCAAACACGACAATGATAATCTGATAGCCAAACTCAATTAGGAATAAGGAAAAAATAAGACATGAACAACCATATAAGACAATGAAACCCAGATCCCGAACATCAAATGGGTCAAGTCTAAACTAGAATCACTATATCTTTAGTGCATTAGTTTGTCTAATTTCTATTGTGAGAGGCTGGTGGTTCCAACAACATCCATAAGGCCAGTTGTGGGACCCACAGGCCTCTCGCATCTGTGCAATGGACAAAACTTTTTTTTTTTTTCCTTTTCTTTGAAGATCTTCAATTTGACCTGATTAGCCTCACTAAGATGTTTGCCATTCACTTGAAAAAGTTATAATTTTTTTCTAAACCTTTTTGTGGAATAATCTAAAAATTAAAATATATAAAAAAAAATCAAAATTCAAAAACGTCAATGAAGACCCCAGAAAAAAAAAAGAAAAAAAAAAGAAGGCCAACTATTTTTACTTCTTTTTTTTTATTGAATTTTTTTTCAAATTTATTTATTTATTTACTTTTTGGTTCATCTAATCGTGTAGATTCTAAAATTTAAAGATTTTTATTTTTATTTTTATTTTTTATAAATTCACTAAAGATGAGAAAAGTCAAAAAAAAAAAAGTTGGTAAAAAGCCAACGCCAAATGAAATGACCTAGAACCTAACTGAACTTCAAAGAACATTTCCATAACTAAGATTTGAAAATCTCTCTCTCTCTAACAAATCTCTCTCTAAAAACCTCCCTCCGCGGCCTCTGTTTGGGCTGGCCGGGCGCCGCCTTTGGCTATGGCGGTCGGCTGGCCTAGCTCGCTTTCGGCGTTTGCCTGTTTGTTTTTTCTTTAAATAAACTTGAATCCCTCATTTTCCCTACCTAGGCGTGTTTTATGTTGCTACGGGGGTTGTTCAGGTTTTCTCTAGGGGCCATTGGGTTTGCGATTCAACCTTGCCGTTACTGCTGATGCATCAGGGGCCGTTCAGGACTTTCATTCGAGCGCTTTCTGGCAAGTAGGAGCTTGAGGGGTGCTCTCTGGTTCAGTTTGGTGGAGAAGTATTGAAGCTCTGTTTGGGCGGAAACATGAGTGTCGTAGGCGATCCAGTTCTATCCGGTTGTCACTCGAGCGTTCCTTCTCGTGTGAGAGTTTGAGGGGTGAACTTCCATTTGTATAGAGGTGTCCCAGCGGGTGGTCGGTGTTCGGTGGGTGTGTGGATCCGCGGTGTGAGATAGAAGATCTGTCCAAAGATTTTCTATCAGCCTCAGTCGTTAGGACGTTATCCGGGAGTGGAGCTGCAGCAACATAGGCGTAGGCTGCAGCAGAGGCTTAGGCGTGGTTTTGGGTGTGAGTACTTCGGGTATGAGCAAGATGAAGACCTGGTGGGCGATGATCAGTGGGTGCTGTTCTGTCTTCCGCAGGGGAGTTGCCGCAGCATCGAGTCTCCTGGTGGTGGCTATGGAGTATTCTCGACGGTGTGTGCATTAGGAGGTGGGAGTTGCAGCAGCTAGGGGTGGCGTGGGCAGCAGCTCAGGAGTGGTTGTAGCAGTAGAGGCGTGGGCTGTTGGTGCAGCAGAGGCATGAGGGCTTTGGGAGTTGTAGCAGCAGAGGAGTGGGCCTTGGCAGAGGGGTGGTTTGTTGATTAGATGTTGTTTTGGTGTGGTTCGTGCTACTTTGGGTGTTTTGGTTTAGTTTATTTATTAGTTTGGTTTAGGTGTTTTGGTGGGTTGATTATGTGTGGTTTCATGTATTTTAATTTTCTAGTTAAGTTCTTCTTAAATTTTTTGTTTAAAAAATCGAGAGGCATAGGGGTTGGTTGTATAGATGCGTATAGCAGTAGTAGGGGTATTTTTATACTTCCGAACCTCTTTCGATGCATGTCATCTTCCTGTACCTTTAATTTCATGCTGTTAAATGAAATTTTTCTTTACTGATAAAAAAAAAAAATGAAACGACCTAGCTCCTTCATTACAAAATGTGTAAAATTGATAACTCATCTTCTAATGTTTAAAAGTCATAAAACAAAAACTATTTAAGTATAATTCAGCATTGGTATAAAATTTTAAATCTAAAAAAGAAGATAGCTTATACAAATCCGATTGAATATCAAAATTTGATCCATTAGTTTTTCGTAATGCATAGCATATTACCACTATTTTTTATTTTTTTATTGTAATTGATATACCATGCTAAGTCTATATTGGGACCAAATTAATGGAATTAGGAAGGCTTACAGAACTCGAATCACAGGGTGATGGTTGACGAACAACAGGCTCTATGTTTTTCTCATTGACAGATCTTCTATCACTAAACAATTCTTGTGGCTTTGGAGAAGCAAAACCACATGATGGTTCCAGAATTTGATTACGGTAAAGTCCATCAATACACTGCAAATGCAAATAATGAATTTTCATTAGCTTAGTATCTAAGTAAGGCACAAAATAAGATAATGGAAAGGTTTGTAGAACAGACTATAACATATATATATATATATATATCATTTTAGAAAAGTTAGGGATCAAGAAAATTTTTTCATTAAAAATAATCGTGAAAGATTTATGATCTTTGGATTATCTTGATTAGTGTATGGTGCTTTATTCTAAGTGTAATCCAAAGGTCACAAAGCTTTTATGATTATTTTCATGAAAGGTTTTTTATTTACCTGAGAGTAAGCTTGATAATCTTGCAAACACCGTGCATTACTGGGATCTATATTGAAATACTCTCCTTGACAACTTCTCTGCAATGACTGAAAAAAGAATAAAAAGAAATAAGGAACAAGATTGCTTTTAGGAGGTCATGGATTCAAATATGTTCTCTCTCCTTATCTTTGCCATTGGGGAATCAATCTATTTTGTCTATTTTTCGCTACGAATGAAATAGTCGCACGTGATTAGGAAGAGTTCGACTATATTAGTTTTTGTAACAATTCATTGCAATAAATTAAGGTTTTAGAGACAAAACTTCAGGATTTTAGGGATGAAATATTTTTTTTGCCAAAAGTATCATTATTATATTTTTTTATCCCTAAAAGTGCATTTATTAGCGACAATTTAATTTTTTTTTTTGACTTTTTGGGATAACATTTTAACGACTATTCTTGCGAATACATGAATTGGTCACCAAGTGTTTTTTGCAACAAAATTTTCCCTTTTGGAGATAAAAATAAAAATAAAAATAAATAAATAAATTTCATTCCTAAAACTCTTATTTGTTGTAGTGTGAGGTCACATGTGATTGGGGGGTATTTTTTACCATATAAGTTTTCGGGACAGTTGTGATTTATTATCATAGCTAATGAAATAACATTATGCATGATATTTGAGTGGATTTTGGAAAGAGAGGAACGGGATTCATTTCAAAGTAGTAAAGCACCTCGTAGAGTTCATCTGAAACAAGTCCCATTCCATGTGCAAATGGGATTGCATAATTTCTATCATCTGGAGTTGTTAATGGGTTGCCAAGTAAGTATCCCTGAAACCATTTCAGAACCACAACAAAAACACTTTGTAAATTTGTAAAGCATTAAAAACAAACTTTGAAAGGATAAATTACACGACTGGTCCCTCTAGTTTGAATGAAATTTCATTTTGGTCCTTGTAATTTTAAGGGTTATTTAGAAAGAGACCCCCTAAACTATTGAAAAGTCCCACTTTGACACCCTAAACTATAAAATCACACAAATGGATCCCTCCTATATTGTGCAATATCACTTTACCCCTAAATTATAAAAGTGCACAAATGGATTCCTCAAATTATTGGTGTGTTTTACTCTGACCCCTTTCGTTAGGGGGTCCAATTTGTATGTTTTTATAGTTTAGAGGGTTCATTTGTACACTTTTATAGTGTAGAGGGACAAAGTGATATTTCTCAACAATTTAGAGGGTCCATTTGCATCCTTTTATAGCTTAGGGGCTCAAATAAGTTAGGGGTCTTTATTGAAATAACCCTAGTTTTAATTTGAACAATTTGGTCCTTATACTATTAATTTTGTTGCAATGTGGTCCCGTGGTCACGCGTTGTTAATATTTTGAATGGAAAAAATCATGTACAAAACTTAAAACAAACAATAAAGACCACCAATGTAATGAATATATTACACTGGTAGTCCTTGTAGTTTGTTTTGAATTTCACATTGGTCTCTCTAGTTTTTGTTTGCACAAAAATTGTCTAAGCAAGGAGGTTTGGGATGTGGGCTTGCCAAGACAAAGTATTGCTTATATGAAAATGGATCTGACTTCTTTTTAGGAGATTGTACAAGCCCCAAGGTAATAAAAGCCTCTTGGATCTTTACTCACCTCAATGAAGAAGACTTAAAATCTCCTAAAGGTTGTAAATTAGGAAGAAAAGTTGGTCAAAGGAAACAGAAACAAAAACAATAAACTGCCAACCTTAATGTACTAAAATGGATTGAACATAAAAAAAGTGACAAAAACATGTTTAAATAAAAAAACAATTGACTTATAACGGATTGTAATCATAATTGAAATAAGAAAAATCAACCATGAATGACAAAAGTAATCTAAAATGACATGGATGTCAATGACACTGATGCCTAACAACTAAACTACGACACATGTGCCTTAAAAATGAACTACTACTAAATTGACATTGATGTCGTTGAGTGTTTTATTTTATTTTATTTTATTTTTGTTTTGAGTTAGTGTCAATGCCTTGAACTTACTTGTGCTTGTAAATGGCCTTTTATAGCCATTGGGTCAACCTTCTAAACTATTTGGCCTTTTTTAACCAGGAACAAGCCAGACAGTGTAGGAGCTTGTTCCTGGCTTACTTGTGCTTATTTGGGCTTTTATAGCCGTTGGGTCAACCTAGCATCCATAGAGCCAACCTAGCATCCAATTAACCAAATTTGTTGGAGGTATTGAAAGAAGAATATCTCTCAACTACTTCCTATAAAATAGGAAACCATCACCACCCTTATCCGAGAAGCACTTAAATAAAATCACCCAGAACTTTCACTTTCATAGATCACAAGCGCCATGTGTCATCTCCTAATTTGGCTATTCCTCCTAGAAAATCACCTTAGGGGTAGCTTTATCAAACTTGCCAAATCTACTTAAATTACCATGAATATTCATTTATTTGAATGCTAGCATCATCTGATTGGGCGGTCATTTTCGGGGCAAACAATATTTCCCTCACATGTTTCGTCTATAATGTTCAATTAAGAGGAGACATTTGATTGATTTCCACTTTTGGAATCTTTTTAAAGTGTGGGGATCTAAAAAGGCAGGTCCCAGTAGCTGTACACTTCTTCAGGCAACTTGCCTGTTGTCTCGCTCATGATGAGTGGGATCAATCGGGGGTGCAATGTGAGATACGAGCGAATGGTCTAGATTTAGCATATTCGATAAAAATCCACTTATCAAACGTAAGTGCTTAATGTAAATCAAACATCAGACACGGATTCAGTCTGGGAGTATAGGTTTGAGAGGGGAAATATCATTAATTGAGCACTCCCACTCACCCGATCAAAGATTGGCCTCTATTAGTTCTTGATATAAGAATTATTAACACAATATGATCGTATAACCCAATTATTAATGCTATGTTTACTATGTGAAACACACAAGTATAGATCAGATCACCTACATTAGAATACTCTAATCGCTCGCGATTTGAAAAGGGTTTGGAAGTAGAAATATCATAAAAATATGAGATAACTAACGTGGGAAGAGATAATAATCATTCCAACTTGGGAAATAAGGCATCCACGCAACGAGCAATCATCGAGATATATCACATAAGTACGTAGCCTCATGGTAGTATGCTAGACATAATAAAGAGCAAACACATACAGGATGCAATAGAAAGGGGCAAGGCTCACTTAGTACTCCTCTGCAACATGTCATGAGTGTAAGGGCTTAGAAATCCATACATGATCCTAGATGCCATAATCTAGGGGATGACATGCAATGGAATAAAAAGGAGACTCACTGGGTACTCTAGCCAAGTGTGACATAAAACAAAATGGTTAGAAAAGATGCACGATCCTAGATACGATAATCTACAAAATGCAAACACACACATGGAATAAATCTTACGGGCCTAATCACAACTGAGATGACAAGCTAATCACCAAGGAAAGCATACCACATAACGATATTTACCAAAACATAATTATTTGGGCTCGGATACATGATCCTAATTTAATCATGTGAATACCATCATGACAACTCAATAATCAAAGCAAAATAAATAAACTTAAAACTAGAGAGAGAGAGAGAGAGAGAGTAGAGAGAAAAGAAACATGTTTCAACACATTTGATTATGAACTACCTGAATCCATGAAAAAGAGGTTTGAGAGGGTAGGTTCAATCTATCCTTGTGGAGGAAACTATGCCTGGGTTTTTCAAGATAATAATAATGATTAAAGCTTGGAAAATCAAGGCAATAACAGGCACCTTAGCGAGAGTGAGGAGCTTCTACCCCTCAGACACAGAAAATGGTAAAAATTACCCAAATCCATGAAAAAGAGTAGGGAGAGGGGAGAATCAACTCGTTCTCTCTAAAGAAAGTCGTGATTATGCTTTTATAACATCAAAATCAATGAAACGATAAAATAAACAAGGCTCCGACGAGGATAGAGAGACTCTTACGCTCTAACACATGAAAAATGGTATAAACTACCCAAATTCATGAAAACGAGTGATGAGGGGGAAGATTCCATTTATTCTCATAGAGAAAACCTTACCTAGCTTTCTATAGCAACAAAAATCAATAAAGTAATAAAATGAAACAAACTCTAATGAGAATGGAGGGATTTTACCCCTCAAACACATGAATAAGGGTATAAACTACCCAAATCCCTAAAAATAGATAATGAGAGAGGAGAATTAGACCATTCTCATAGAGGAAACCATGCTCGGGCTTCTAACCCATAATAAAGCAAGAAAAACAAGTTGGACCTGGCCAAAGTCTCTATACAGGCCTAAATTACTACAAAAAATGGGTAAAGAAAGAGAGGATCCAACTAATCTATCAACAATAGCCCAACAACCATCTTAACATCTCAAGAAGATTTCAAAAAGAGAGGAAAAGGGATAGAAGATGAAATAAAATGGAAGTAAGGATTACGTCCAAAGCTAGCAGAGATAGGGCCTAAGTTGGTTACAAACACCAATCCAAGCTTCCTCAAGCTGATGAAGATCTCTAGCTCCAAATCTTTAAGCCAAATGATAAAGAAGAGACTCCAAGTGTATAGGTATCTTAGGTATGTGTAAAGTTCAATGTTCCTTAGATTTAAACCTAGAATCAACAAATTTTTTTTAAAAAAATTCACCAACCCCTCACCCCTCCAAAAATGAATGATTATATAGGCTTGGGATGCTTAGAATATGCCATTTGGGCCTCAAGGATCTGGATGGCATATTCCAAGATGCTAGGGGACACCTCATGAGAAATCTATTAGGCAATTGTTGGCGGACTTGGCCAAACAAAAATTTGTATGGCTAGCCTAAAGTGGTTCGTCGTGTTTTCTCAAAAAAATGTGTCAAAGCAAAAAGGGTATTTAGAAAGAAGTACTCTAGTCATGTTTATCCTTGCCAAAGTTGTCCGTCTTGTTTCTAAAAAATTGTCCGACCGATCACATCCCGCCCAGCCACACTTTTCCCAGAATGTTTCCTCATCTTCTCACTCATTCCGGCTTTCTAAGCACACCTTTCTGAAAAATAAATAAATACTTTTTAGAAAACATAACTTTGGAAATAGCCGAAACAATGAGAAGGTATCACTTACCTTACGAAAATCATTTTGAAAAATAGGTTTGAAGGTATGGAAAACTCTTAGGCCAAAATGTGTACAGGAATGTTCATCTCTCTTCATCTATGACTTGTGCTTGAACTGATCTTTGCTTTCATCATCGGAAGCTCTTCACGAAGCGCCCAAGTCTTAAGGCTAGTAAAAATTGGGGTCTCTCCAATATGCTTTTATTAAGATCTCCATAAATGACACTCAACAAGTACTTCTGCATCTTTACTAGACCTCTTGGATTAAGTCTTACAGATTTGTCAGTCATTTTGGATTACCTCTCGCAAATTTGACAAGACTTCATCATGATCTTCTGAATCCTTATCAAACCTTTTGAATTAGTTCTTGCAGACTTGATATGCCTTCATCAAGACATTCTCAACTACCTTCTGCAGGCCTAACAAGGCTTCATCAAACCCTTCTAAATTCTGAATACCTCTTAAGTATACACCATGACCGTTGACCTCCTTATCCAAGCTTAGGCATTCACAAATCAATAGCTGAACTCTTTCGTTCTCGTTTCTCTAAACCAAGCTTGGGTGAGTTCCTTACAAAATAAGGTTGATGTGGACATCTAATTCTTCTAAGTGAAACTCCAAACATACTCTAAGGAGGCCTGCTCAATGTGCTAGAACGTTTGAAATGTTGCTTAGACTTGAAACTTCTACTAGGCCTTTTTTGACATTCTAAAAAGCCAAAACTCTTGCGTGAAACGTCTACTAAACTGTAAGGCCTATTCATTGGGCTACAAAGCCTAAAGTACTTGTTAGGCTTGCAAAAGATGTTAGGCCTTCTCAAACATTCTAAAAGGCCAAAACTTTGATTCGTGTCTTCAATATGAGACAACTTGTTATTTTTCTTCAAATAGCCAAATTTATTATAAGTTGAACTCTCTTACTTGATTTATACACTTTGCTTCCTTCAACACCTCCTTTGAGTTTTTTGATGAATCAATTTGAACGAATGGAGATGTTTGTTTGGCTTATGAAAATATTCGTGTGACTTGAGACTTCTTGCACTCACCTTCTTATTTTGTATAAGCCATGTGAATAGTATTCTCTTTTGAAGTGCCCTACAAACCCAATGTGGATGTAAGTTTTCATGTACAAAACTGAAAGTTGGCACATGCATGCAATGCTTTTGCATTTTGGGAGTTGTCGAAAAGGTCTTCATCTGATAGAGGAGGAGAAAGAGGTTGTTCATCACCTTCAATGATCGATATCATGCTCCCTATGCAAAATATCCTCAAATTCTCCAACTTCATTTTGTCCCCCTTGTGCCCTTTCGTGAGAAACAAATTGTTGGATCTCCTGACTACTTTTCAGGCCTTTATTTTGGCTTACCTCAAGTTTGACTTTTGACTTGATTTCAAAGTTGACTCAAGGCTTGACCTCCTATCTACATCTTTTCTCCTCACTTTTGAAAATTGAGTTGTAATCAAAGATTATTATCTCTTTCTCTTATCAAGTTCATAAGATTATGGGTAGGTTTTTTTTACTGTAGACTTGATCATTGGTGGGTTGTCTTTACCTCCTGACGGCCTATAAAGAAGATGCTCTCCTAACACTTGTCCTTATCGCTCTTTCCTTGGATTCGGTGGTGAAATGATGAAGCCTGATAGAATCCCATGGGAGATGGGTATCCAATAGTTGGTGGGTCAAAAGAATTCACCTTTGGGGACACTTCTAGAGTACCAGATTGTGGAACAACAAACTGGCCATTAGTGGGGTCGTCTCTCCCTTTTGGCAACTTACAAGAAGGATGCCCCATCGTGTCCAAGTCTTGTCCTTTTGGAATAGGAGTTCTCGATGAAGATCCTTGATACATTCTAGGAGGACATGACAAGTTAGCAGCTAGTGCTTTAGGCAAATCTACTTTTGCAACAAGGAGTCTTTGCCCTCCCATACATTATAAGGGTGACTAATTAAACCTACTATTTTGGAGTTTTGAAATGCCCTCTTGCCCTCATTGTATGACTGAATTCATTAGGACTGACACTTCATGTAGAAGGCATTTAAGGAGATAGTTTATATCACGTTGAAAATATTGAGTTTCATCTCCAAATGATCAATTTCATCCATGAGCTAATGAATTTCATAGTTTAATCGCCTTTTTTGTTTGTACCCCCAATTGTACTTTTCCATAGAAGATATAAAATATACAGGAATAAGTTGACATTTTACATTGTCAATAAGATAAATCTCATTTTTTAAGTTGTCAATCTCATCTTCGCACCAATGCACTTCTTCTTTAAAATGCCAGATTGCTAATTCCAACTCAAGATAATGCATTGATATAATAACAAATTGGCATATTCAGCCCCTTAAATTCCTTTGGGGTTTCACTAGACATGCTAAAATATGTTTGCACAAAATTTGGCTAAGTAAGGAGATTTAGGATTCAAGCGTGCCATGGAAAAGTATTGCCTACGTGAAAATGGATATGTCTTGTTATTAAGAGATTGTGCAAGGGCCAATGGGATAAAAGCCTCCTAGTTCTTTACTCGCCTCGACGAAGAGGACTTAAAATCTCCTAAGGGTTATAAGATAGGAATAAAAGTTGGCAGAAGGAAATACAAACAAGAAACTGTCAACTTCAATGTACTCAAATGGATTGAACATACACAAAGTTACAAAAATAGTTTTAAGTAAAAAGCAATTAAGTTACAACAGTTTGTAATTACAATTGAAATATGAAAAATCATCCACAAACGACAAAACTAATCTACAATAACATGGATGTTAATGGCATTGATGCCCAACAACTAAACTATTGCACATGTACCTTAAAGATGAACTAAAGGTAAATGCTAAGGCTAAATTGACACTGATGTCGTTGAGTGTTTTGTTAATTTAAGTTGGTGTCGATGCATTGAACTTGAGCTTGCAAATAGCCTCTTATAGCCACTGGGTTCCTCTTGCAAGTTACAAATGACCTCCTAAATTTTCTTAGCCACTTTGCTTAGTAGGATGCTAGGTTGGCTCTATGGCTGCCATGTGTCCTATTACCAAGTCTTGAGGCCCAAATATTTGAAACATGTGTTTAATTATTTCTTACATTTACTGAATTTGCAAATTTGTAGGAAGAATAGTTTCTACCACATTCTTCTTGTCTTTGGATCATGAATAACATATGTCATAACCACCAGACCAAATCCCATGATTATGGCTCTATGGTGGTATGGAATAATGGTCAATAACCATATCCAAAAATATTAGGAACACATTCTGCTGGAGATATTGATAGAAGACTAACTCTTAACTAATTCCTGTAAAATAGGAAACCATCACCACCATTATCTGAAAAGCATTTTGATAAAATTACCAAGAACTTTCACTTTCATGGATCACCAGTGCCACGTGCCAGCTCCTAATTTGGCTATTTCTCCTAGAAAATCACCTTAGGAGTAGCTTTATCAAACTTGCCAAGTCTACCAAAATTACCATGAACATTCATTTATTTGAATGACTATCGCCAAGTGGCATCATCCAATTGAGCGGTCATTTTTGGTATAAACAGTTTTACACGGTCTTTTTTAGATACAAATTCTAATGGTATGTAACAGAGAGATCACATTGCAACAAAATTAAAAGTGTAGGGATTAAATTGTTCAAATTGAAACTACAGGGACTAAAATGACACTTCACTTAAATTACAAGGACTAATGGTGTAATTTACACTATAAAGAGCGACAAACCTTGAGATTGATAAGTGGTTCAATGCCAGCTTCGTTTCCTGCGTTGCAACATAGTTAGTACACTTGAAACATGAGCAAATAGAGTTTTCCTTCATCCTATTTTCCACTTTGAAATGCTTGCTATTTATTTATAACAAATTCAGCATATATTTATGTTAAATGAAGGTGTTTAGTGTGGATATGTATTTATGTGTCCAATTCATCTGATCACATATCCAAGGACAAGGGGACATGACAAAAAAGATCATATCTGTTAATTTACTTCTTTAATGTTTCAAAGTAAAAGAATGGAAACCGGGGTTACTGTTGTAAGCAAACCATATTAGTAGCCATTGTTACATCTGTGGTGACTTTTCCTAGGCTTATTTGGATAGTCCAAATCTTTTATATTGTAAGATCCGTCACGTAGATTATTTATGAAAAGAATCAGATTAGTTGGATATTTGTAGTCCCTCAACGAGATCACATTTTTGTTTGGAAAAAAATGAATGGTTAGCTTGATTTTGATAGTTTTTAACAATAATTAGAACTCGATCATAGGGTTATAGATATCTGATTAACCTAATTTTTTACATGGATAATATGTTTAACAAACCTTACAATATGAACAATTTAGATTATCAAAATAGGTTAGAAATAATGTTCCACAGAAGCTCACAACAGTTAGTACTATGACTACTGCAGTAACACTGAGTCCAAAATAATGTCAAATGCATATTTTGTTTCCTTATCCACGTATTCATATGTCAAGTATTTAACATGAATACTTCATATATAAGGAAAATGAAAAAATATATATATGTAAGTGTTGTCAAGTATTTAACATGAATACTTCATATATAAGGAAAATGAAAAAATATATATATGTAAGTGTTGGTACCGAAAATGACCTCCCTATCAAATGATACCGCATGGCGTTGATTATTCAAATGAGAGCATTGATAGAGACCCCCTCCAATCACCACCCCCACCACCCCACACACATGTGGGGGGTGGTGATTAGAGGAGAAGGAAAAGAAAAAAAATAGAAAAGAAAAACTGGCCAATGAGAGGGAAAGGGGGTCAAAAGGGGTGGGAGGGAAAGGGGGTCTCAAACATTTTTGTTCAAATAAATGGATGTGCGTGGTAATTTTAATGAACTAATAGATTTGTAAAGTTTTATGAAGTTATCTCCAAGGTGTTTTTCCCAGAGTAACATCCAGATCAAGGGGTGATACACTGTGTGGGTGACCCATGAGAGTGAAGGTGCTTGCTAATTTTATCAAGTATGCTTAAGTAATGATGGTTTCCTATTAATATGTTGAGATATTAACTCATTATCGCTAGAAAATCATGTACCTATTTTCAAAGAGATGTTTATTAACCATTCCTATTAACCACCATGGAACTATCATCTTGAAATATGGACATGTGGCACCCATTATGGGGTATTCACAGACTAGGCTGACCAGTCAAAACCGGCCCGATTCGACCCAATTCACTCACTTTTAAGTGGTCTCAATAGTATGGGCAGGTGGATGTGGATGGAGATTTTTCTAATCCACCTATGTTTGGGTAGATGGCGGATGAGACCGAACCCAGCTTGATCCGCCAACCTCCCTTAAGAAAATGATGCTATGTTTACATAATTTGCATGTTAAAAAAATGACATTTTATTTAGTAATAATATTAGCTACTTATGAAATATGAAAGTTTGGCCATTATTTAATTACAAAAAATGAAGAATAAAAAATTTTGGACTCAAATAAAGCCCAAAATAGTAAAAAAAAATTACTATAAAATAGTTCAAACATATATGTAATTGCAAAACCCAAGCCACTAAATGGATTTGCATCCACCTGTCAATCCGCACGAATTGCTCAATCCGCATTCACCAACTATGCAGACAAATACAGATTGTTTTTTTCTAATCCACCTAAGTTCAAACGAATGGTGAATGGGAGGCACCCAGCCCAATCTGATCCGCGAGCACCCTTAGCACCCATCTATTTAGATTCAAGACCCACTACTACTTGATCCAACGACTAGGCGAAAATGGGGCAATCACCAACATTTCTTGAGGGATACATTAGAGATATTTGGACAACATGGTTGTTGAGGGACACTTGGCACTCTAGGAGGTGTTCTAGAATACCACTAACCAAAAGTAGTTGAGGGATATATTAGGAGCTAGTTCGAAACGGCTAGAAGGTCAAACATATGAAGGTCATTTCAAGATGGGAAAACCCGCAACCAATCATCCAATCAATTCAAAAAATACTTAGCAGTTATCTCTCAAGACTTAGTGACTTTTTAATATTAGATTACCAGTAACTTCATTAGCTTACTGTATTTTTCATTTCTATTTCAAAAGTTAGCTTAGTTTGTCCCAAATATTGTACTTTAATTGTTTGGATATAATAAAATTCTTGTTGTGTCCTCTTCCAACTTCAAGCACTTAGGAGATTCTAAGTCCTTTTAATTGACGGAACAAATAAACCAAGAGGATTTTTATCCCTGGACCTCACATATTGTCTTGAGAAGAAATTAGAAATATTCAACAGATCGGACTATACTAGTCCTGGCACACCGCTCACAGGTTCCTGCAGCTTCCATTGTTCATTTACACCCATTTTTGTGGAAAAAAAAAAAGAAAAAGAGAATTCTCAGTTTATCACTGATTAAAGAAGTTTATTTCATTTTTTATTAGTCCAACTTCGAGTGATTTTTTTTCTTTCTTTTTTTTCCCCCTAATTTAAAAGAGTTAATTACAAGACCAACAACCACTTGGGAAGAGGACCAATTTGGCACAGTAAGGTAATATGTGTCGAAATGGGATCAATGTATGGGACTCTTGGTCAAGCAAGAGACTTCTATCTAGTAGAGTATTTTCTAAAGAGGCAAGATATATGCAATTTTACTCTATTTTTAAAGAGATTAATTGTATAACTCAAACTAACATTGGACCAAGAATGCTAGAGACAAATTTTAAAATTGGACCAAGATAAAAACCTAATTTTCCTAAATTTTCACTGACTTGTCCATTAATTTCTTACCATTTGATATTAGTTGAACAATTATTGGAATCGTAATGCCAGTGTACGAGTCTCCACCAACGTAAATAGGGTTTGAGAAGAACTTTGAATGATCAATCAACCACTGCAAAAAAATTTTTTTTTAAATAATTGATAAATGGTTACAAAAATAAAAATAAAAAGTCTAGTATTGATAGCCCAAAAGAAGAAAAAAAAATTAATAATTTTATGAAATTGTTTACAACTGTCTAATGCTATGAACAAATCTCCATTTACTACAAAAGCTACTGTTAAGCATTGTATCTTGTTGCTTTTGTTGGAGAGTTAACAAATTACCTTCTTGAGAAATTCATAGGCTTGGTCACATGATTGCAAATCAGTAGATTTAGAAGCAAGAGAGGTAGTTCCATAGGAGAATCCGGTACCAACAGGCAAATCTACAAAGAGTATGCTCGCCACCTGATATTTAATATCACTGTGATTAAATTTTATCATATGCGCTGATGCACATAATCGCTAGAGGAGATTGGCTTTTCTCCAGTCAATTGGATATGCAGTCCAATTTTTTGTGAGATGGAAGGTAAAATAATAATAACAATAACTTGGTGATCTAAACAAATTTTCGTATTTTTCATGTGTAGATTAATAATAATAATAATAATAATAATAATAATAATAATAATAATAATAATAAATTTGTAGCCATATTATTTTGACTTTAAAAATAAATAATAGGGTAAATTATAAATATTCTTAAAATATTATGGTTGTGGAAATTACATTCCACCCTATCAAGTTTCTAATTATATAACAAATGATCCATTTTATTAATAAATCATCATGTCACTTAACATTTTTTAATGAAGCCATAAATATATTTCAATTAACAATTTAAGTAATTTTATTATTGTATAAGAGAGCAGATAGGAATTTCAATTTTTGTTAATTTTGTTCAATAAAAATGTGTGACAATGGGGTATTTGTAATTTTCATAACCAAGGGACGATTTATATTTTAAAAAAATCTCAAAAGATATATTGTAATTTTCTCAAAATAATAAATAGATGGAAAAGTAAACCTTTCATTTTTTAAAGATAAATATTATATGGTTGTCATCAATCAATCAATTAGATTTTTCTTCTTTTTCTCTTTCTTTTTCTCTTTTTTTTTTTTGGGGGGGGGGGGGGGGGGGGGGGTGTTATGTTGATAAAAACCACAGTACGAATATATCACCAAATTAGGACACATGGTGGATACCATTATCCCAACAACAATGTGTAGTCATAGATTGCTAGACTAGATGTTCGGTTTACTGAAGAGAAACTCATCCCTACTCCATATATGCACATGTAGTTACACAAATTCTTACAAAATAGGCCAATTGTTAAACAAACTATGGTTGCTGTCAAGGCAACATATAAAATTTTAATGCTTCAGATAGTTATAGATAGTAGCTCTTAACAGCATATAAAATTAGTATGACAATAATAGTCTCACCCTTCTTGTATTCTATCTACCTTCGTCCATGAGTTTGGATTCAAGAGTAAAGTCGGCAAACTTCCATCATTCTGCTTGACCTTGAAATTTAGTGGACCTGCAAATTAGTTAAGCGATTTATATATTGTCAATACATCAAGGGTTCAAATCAATTAGGAATAAGATATTGTATTAATTATTTTTGTTATCAAAATCGGATTGTAATGGGGTATTTTATTGTGTGAGGGTATTTTGATAATTTGACTCACTCACTCTGTCTCGCCCATCGAGATTGAAAGTTTCGCTCCATTATCTACTCAAGTAAGGATTTCATACATGTTTTAAATCTTTTTTAAACAGTTTTTTTTCAAAAAAAAAAAAAAAAGTTGGAATCAAATACAAAAACATGTTTTGGGAACATGTGCAAAATTGGCCCTGCTAAAGTGGGGCAATCGATTGCAATTTGGAGCAATCGATCTGACGTTGAGCAGTAGTTAGCATTCAATAGACAATCAATAAGCCATCAATTGCACTTTGTGCAGCAAGCGATCACTGAGAGATCGATCAATAAATATTGTATAGCTTTGACTCTCTCGTGTACTCGTGTGATTTAGTGTACATGTGTTAATTAGGTTAATCGATTAAATTGAACATAAATTAATCTTCTCTTTAACAGGATAACCTACTTATTCCCCTCTAGGCACATAATATTCAAATTCCAATATTTCAAAAAACTTAAAATATTTGCATTTACAATTCCATGTAATAGGAGAGATGTGTCTTATATAATTTCCCTACGTAGTATTACCAATATATTTTTGTTCCTTTAAAAATAGGATTGGTCCAAACGTACTATAGCTTTGGCCCTCTGGAAAACTATCACTAAGAGCATCTCCAACCATATGCTATTGCTATTGTTATAATTTGGCAATGAATAGTATTATTTTGTCAAATTATATCAATGGTGCTCCAATGGTTATTTGTTATTTTAACAAATCTCAACCAATTTTCCTTCCAAATTTGTAGGTATTATTTGGATATAAATTTTTTTGTGATTTTATTTTTATTTATTTTTTGTCTTTTGTGACATTTTTTTACCTGTTTGTTAAAAAAAATATATATTTATATTATTCCCAACTAGACAAATATAAAAAATTAAAAAAAATAATAATTTGGAAAAAAAAATAATAATTTAAATTTTGAAAGAGCTGTTGTAAAAAATAATTTTTAATTTTTTTTTTCTGTGTTAAACAAACCAAACAGAGCCCAACGGCTCTTTATTACACTAGAATGATCCACTCTAGAATGATCCAAACAGAGCCATACACGGCTCTTCTCACTCTGTCTCCCATTAAACAAACCAAACAAAGCCAGACATCTAGAATGATCCACCCTCTCTCAGTCTCTCACTCTCCCTCCCTTCCAGTCTCTCACTCTCTCTCCCTCTTCTCAAACCACTCCCTCTTCTCCTCCATGATCGGAACCTCTTCTCCTCCATGATCGGAACCTCTTCTCCTCCATGATCGGAACCTCTTCTCCTCCATGATCGGAACCTCTTCTCCTCCATGATCGAAGGCAGAGCAGCCCGGGCCTCCTGTCAACCAAAGAAGCAGAGGGTCCTCTTTGGGGTTGGACTCAGACTTAACAAAGTAGTAAAAAAGCTGTACATCCTCTGATTTATCCACACCTACATACCTGACACATACATGTATACACAATACATAACATAACATTAATCAACTATATATTCATGCACAAAGAAAGAAAGAAAAAGAATACAATAGGAATGAAATATACTGTTGACCCACTCACCCGGTTTCGAGTTCAAAGGGAAGGGGTCCTTCAAATCCTGGGAGAGACTCAACCACAGAGTGACCGAGTACGAGCTTAGATGAACAAGCAATTATCAAAAGAGAAAGCATGAAAATCAAAAGTAAGCAAAGCAAGTGTGCCATTTTTTAAGCCATGTTTGTGTTCAATTGGGAAGCAATTAATAGGGATGTTTGAAATCACATAATACTTAAGTCATTATTCATAATTAATTTGTGAATCGTACCAATAAAAAAGATATGTTATCCATATATTTATTTTACAAAAAAATATATATTTATTTTTGTTTATTTCGATGTCTCAAACTTAAAGAGTTAGTATATGACAGCACGTAAACAAGGAAAAGGGACAGGAAGGAGTGGTTGTTTTGCCCACTTCTCTTTATTTTCTTTGGACTTTCTTTCTTCATTTCTTGCTGATGTGATGACAAATAAATTAAAGTATTCTAGTTTCTTGGTGATAATGACAAATAATTATATTTTAACCATAAAAAAAATGACAAATTATTGTACACGTTAAATTTGTATTCGTACATAATTTTAGGATAAACGATCATGTATCATGTTGTTTACTTTATTTTCTTCAATATATATATATATATATATATATATTTTAATTTAGAGTATGAAATAATAATATTTTTATTATTTTAAATGTAATCCAATTGTTACCTGCCACCTATGTTTTGACGAAAAAGGGGCACCTGATATTAACACGTTGCTGACTCAGCCTCGGCTCAAAAACAATTTTTAGAATGGATCTAGCTCTTTTCCGATCTAGAAATATTGGAAGATTAAAAAAAACATAAAATTAAAAAATTAATAAAAAATACACTAAACTCTGAATCTGATAGTGATATATATATGATCATGACATTTTTAGTTGACATTTTAGTTTTCAAATGGTTAATTGCTAATGCTGAATAATCAAAATGATTTGGGATTTAAAGTTTTTTAGGTATTTACATGCAAAGTACACGATTCCATGAATAAAAATTAAGTCTATATATATTCATAATTAAATTTAAATTATAAAAAATGATGGGGTGAGATTTGTTTCCAATTTATATAGTAAACTGATTGCTCTATTCTAAGTCTTAAGACTTGACATGTATAAGCCCATAAAGGCCATGAATCACCTATGGCCTATTACTTGAAGCACAGTGCATAACCCAGCTGACGAGGCCCAGGACAGCTGGGGTCCAACATGGCATAAAGAGCCAATGACATTCAGACACACGGCAAGAGAAGGACGAACCACATCAGCAGACAAAGATCTGCAAAGTTATTGCCACTGCACATCACCATTATTGCAGCCCATCACAGCATTTATTACGACAACACCTCTCCGCCGGAACAGGACCCCCTTATCCTGAGTAAGGTAAGCTAGAGCATAGGCTTTTGGCAAGGAGAGCAGGTCGGAAGGGACATCGAAATGATTGCCAAAGGATATAAGCGAACGTTGTAAACAAGCAAAAGGTTAAGCTTTCTATCTCTAATCTTCTCCCATATACTATACTTCTCTTCCTAACTTGATCGTCGGAGGGTTCACTGGGGGACTACCCCGTTCCCCGTTGAACTTGTTTGCAGGGTATCTGGTGGGCTCGATCATTTGAGCTTGGGCTTGAGGAGCTTGGACCAGTTCGCTCCATTCACCGGGGATAAACTGTATCAACAGTTGGCGCCGTCTGTGGGAACGCTTTGCTCCTCGCGCCAGTTGTGTTCACTGTCGCCGGAGGCCCCGTTCCAACAACCTTTTTCTCCTACCCGTCAAAGTGCATGGTCACGACTAGATCCATGGTTTCTCACAATAAAGCCGCCGACCATCAAGCCGACCCCCCCAATCCAAACAACCCACCACAGTATTTTATCGAGCTTACCAACAGCATTAACCGCATGGCCGAGCAAAACCAGGCCTTGATAAATGCTTTACTCCAAAGGAACCTTCCAATGCCTCCTCCTCCACCTCCAGATATTCCCCTCAACCAAGAAAGAGCCCCGAGCCATATTGCTCCACAACTCCATCCACCCAACTTGGAAGGTTTGCAACCTCCCCACCCACGTATAAATCCACCACCACCCCCACACCCACACCCGTCGGTCGTAGTACTAGCTCCTAAAGGGGAGGCTAGTAACGTCCAGCCTCCATTGACTGACCATGGTGACCACGTTCCCCTCTGGGACGTTGAGCTCTGCGCAATGAAGCTCCAACTCCAAGGGGTATACCACGGCAAATTCACCATTTGTTGCCTCCATCCGGGACAAACCCTTGCCCGCCAAGTTCAAGATGCCCACTATTGACTCCTTTGACGGTACGACAGACCCAGTCGACCATCTGGAGACTTACCGTACCCTCATGATCCTCCATGTCTTCCCCGACGAGATCATGTGTCGGGCTTTCCCCGTGACACTGAAGGGGTCAGCTCGATTGTGGTTCAGTCAGTTACCAGCGGACTCTGTCTCCACTTTCCAGCATCTCAGTGACTCCTTCCTCAGCCATTTCATTGGAGCCCAGCGCCAACGCCGCCCTGCAACCCAACTCCTCAATATCCGTCAAACCGAGGGGGAGTCGCTACGCAGCTTCGTTACCCGCTTCAACACCGAAGCCTTACAAGTAGCGGAGAATGACGATAAGGTCATCCTCACGGCTTTCATGGCCGGGCTACGATCGTCCGATTTCCTTTTCTCCCTCTCCAAAAACCCCCCGACCTCCATGGCAGCCCTATTATCCAAGGCCCAGAAGTATATGAATGCCGAAGATTCACTAGCCGCTTGGCAGGATCCAATATCCAAAAACCCGACCCCCAGAGAAAAGAGAAAAGACTCGGAACCCAGAAACATCCAGTATAACAGCCAAACACCCCAATATACTGACCGACCTCCTCACGCTGAAAGGTCGACACCAGCCCGACCTCCCGGTCAGTTCAAGCAGTACACGCCCCTTAATCCTCCCATGGAACAAGTCCTCCACCAGATCCAACGGGATTACCCCCTCAAATGGCCCATGCCCTCACGAACCCCTTCCAACCGAAAAGACCAGTCCAAATATTGTCGTTTCCACCAGGATCATGGCCACAACACTAATGACTGCATCAACCTCAAGGATCAGGTCGAGACCCTCATTCGCCAAGGGCATCTCAGCCGGTTCACGGACACTCGCCCGCAACAGAGGCAAAGAACCGAGCTCCTTAGAAACAACCATCGGCGTACCCCACCCCGGCAGCCAGCCCAACCTAACCAAGGCTGTGACTGCCCCCCACAATAGCCTCAGCCCCCAGGTAATCCCCCTCCGCCAGTTGGTGAAATCTTTCTGGTGGCCTTGCTTGTGGCGGACCATCCCGCTCCGCTTAGAGGGCAGAGCTCAGGAAGATAAGGCAAGGCTCGGACAGAGCAGTGGACACGGTAGACCGACCCTCCAAACAGCCCAAGCAGTGGACAGAGCCCATCACATTCACAGACGCCGACTGTACTAGCATCCGTTATCCTCATGATGACCCTCTCGTCATTTCTGCCCTTCTCTCCAACTATAAGGTCAGACGGGTCCTCATCGACAACGGCAGTTCTTCAGACATCATATTCCTCAACTGCTTCCGCCAGCTCAAAATTGGAGAGAAAAGCCTGTCCCCCCTCCAAACCCCTTTGGTCGGTTTCACTAGAGACCGGCTAACCTCCATCGGTTCCATCGACCTCCCTATCACCATCAGCGAATACCCACGACAGACTACCAAGTTGCTCACTTTCCTTGTGGTCGACTGTCCCTCTGCCTACAACATCATCCTTGGTCGCACCGCCCTCAACGCCTTTCAAGCTGTCACTTCAACCTACTACCTCGCCATAAAATTTCCCACCGACCAAGGGGTCGGGACAGTACGGGGGGAGCAGACCATAGCTAGGGACTGTTATGTCGCCTCACTCAAGGAGGTCAAGCTGAAGGAGGCCATGATCATTGAAGGACTTGATGCCCGAGATGAGGACGAGTTGGTCAGAGGCGAACCGGTGGAGGACCTCGTTGAGATTCCCATCGATCCCACCAACCTAATGAAAACTACTAAAATCGGCAGCCAGCTATCCCCCCAAGCTAAGGCCGACCTTACTGCCCTTCTGATCGAGCACAATGATGTATTCGCCTGGACTTACTCAGATATGCTAGGCATCAACCCTTCTTTCATAACTCATCGCCTCAGCATTAAACCTCATTTTCGACCTTACCGCCAGAAGCAGCGCGTCTTTCATCCAGAGCGCAATACTCTTATAGCCACAGAGGTTGACAAACTCCTTGAAGCCCAATTCATAAAAAATGTCGACTACACTAAATGGTTGTCAAACGTGGTCCTCATCCGCAAGAACAATGGCAAATGGCGACTCTGTGTCGATTACTCTGACCTAAACCGAGCTTGCCCCAAAGACAGCTATCCTCTGCCCCACATAGATCTGCTGGTCGATGCCACGGCCGGTCATCAAATGCTTAGCTTCATGGATGCTTTCTGCCCCACATAGATCTGCTGGTCGATGCCACGGCCGGTCATCAAATGCTCAGCTTCATGGATGCTTTCTCTGGCTACAACCAAATCCTGATGCACCCGTCCGATCGGGAACATACATCCTTCATCACCGACCGAGGCACCTACCATTACCAAGTAATGCCATTCGGATTGAAGAACGCTGGGGCCACCTACCAACGGTTGGTCAATACCGTCTTCCATCACCAAATAGGTCGGAATATGGAAGTACACGTCGA